GAATCCTGACACTCGGGAAAGGATCGGAAGTTCAAGGCCACCCTCAGCTATGTAGCAAGTTTGAGACCAGCCTGGGATACCAGAGAACTGAGACTCAATCTCTTCTCCCTACCTCCCCAAAAGAGAGAGATGGAGAAGGCTGGGGTTGATGGTGACAGTAGGGAGTGACAAGGCCCAGTGTGCTCTTACCTCACATTCTTGCCCCATCCCCGTAGAGGAGAGCTGGGGTGGGCTGGGGCAGCAATCCTTTCTCCATGGTTGCTCTGCATTGTTGAGCTCGCTAGCCAAGGAACATGAGCACACCAGAAGCCCCGTGCAAGGGCTAATCCTGCCTCCAGAAGGCTCCTGATCTAATCTAGGCCTCTTGACTGGGGCTAGGCGGGTTCTCATTGCAGAGGAGAAAGAAGGTGGGCAGGGTGTGAGGCTGGGCAGTCAGTGCTCTGTGGGTACCAGGCAGAATGAGGGCAGAAGCGGGAGGTAAGTTGGAATCTAGACCTGGTCATCAGGGCATCTGCTCTATGATGTAGGTCTCAGGTGCCTCCTGGTAATGTGGCTACTTAGAGTCAGCCACCCCAGCTTTACAGCCTTGAATTCGCATTCATGCAATGCATGTTTTATTTGTTTCTTTGTTGGTTTTTGTTTTAACTTTTCTTTTTCTGTTTTGTTTTGTTTTGTTTTACTAGACAGGGTTTCTCTGTGTAACAGCCCTGACTGTCCTAGAACTCACTCTTGTAGACCAGGCTGGCCTCTAACTCACAGAGATCTGCCTGCCTCTGCCTCCTGAGTACTGGGATTAAAGGCGTGCGCCACTACCACCTGGCTTGTTTTAACTTTTTAAGATTGATTCGTTCTACTGTGTATGTACCAGTGTTTTTGCCTGCATATGTATGTGTGTGTGGATGTGTGTGGATGTGTGTGGATGTGTGTGTGGATGTGTGTATGTGTGTGTTTGTGTGGATGTGGATGTGTGTGTGTGTGGATGTGTGTGGATGTGTGTGGATGTGTGTATGTGTGTGTATGTGTGTAAGTGTATATGTGTGTATGTGTGTGTATGTGTATGTATGTGTGTGTATGTGTGTGTATATGTGTGTGTATGTGTGTATGTGTGTGTATGTGTGTATGTGTGTGTATGTGTGTGTATGTGCGTATGTGTGTATGTGTGTATGTGTGTGTGTATGTGTGTATGTGTGTGTGTGTGTATGTGTGTGTATGTGTGTGTGTGCATCATGTGCATGCCTGGGGCCTTCAGAGGTCAGAAGAAGCAATGGGAGGCTCTGGGATTAAAGGTTTGGAGAGTTGTTTGTAAGCCTCACCATCTGGGTGCTGGGAACCAAACCCAAGTCCTTTGCAAGAGCAACAAAAAGCTCTTAACTACTCAGCTGTCTCTCCAGCCCCTGGTTTCCAGGATTTTGTTGTTGCTTTTCCAAAGATGGGGGCCTCGCTGTAACTGAGACTGGCACTTCTCCTGACCTGAATTCTGGGATTACATGTGTGTGCCGCCACGTCCCTCTAGGAGGGCAGAGGGTTTTACTTGTTTGTTTGGTGGGGATTGGTATCCTTAAACTCACTAAGTAATGAAGATAACTTGATATTCCGTTCCCCTGTCCCAGCCCATCCGGTTGACATCACAGTTGTGTATTGTGTACCCATACACCATGTTAGGGAGGTTTTCTATTATCATCAGTTTGTAGATAAGCCTAGGAAATCGGCGGAGAAGGCACATAATGTAGTTACCGTTATCAGTTCGCAGGCTCCTGCCCTGCCTGCCTGTCCTTCCAGAAGAAGCGTGCTGTCTTGTCCTGTTTCTCAGAACCCTCCCACGTCACCCAGGACATACTCATCCTCTTGCTCCCACCCTCCCTGTGCACATTCTCTCTCAGCCCTCTGACCCGGCTCCAGGCTCCACTCTCCTTCCTCAGCCTCTTCGGGTACTTCACTGGCTCCAGAGAGGCCAGCACAGTCCAGCCTCAGTGCCTGAGGAACTATCTAGCAGGCCAAAATAGGACCGGGGGACTCTGTTAGTCCACCTCCCCACATCAGAGGAGAGGCGAAGAAGTAGGGGTGTACTCATTTGATAAGTTTGCCTGGCATTCACCAAGCCCCACCACTGCACTAATGGGGTGCGGTGAGGCTTCCATCACCTGTAGGAACAGTGCTCAGAGAAATGAAAGAAGGAAGGGGGCAAGAGGAAAGCTAGATCCAGAGACAGGGAAAGGTTTGACTCATAGGGTCCTATTTGGAGAAGACAGCAACCGAGAGGAGTATGGACATGGGGTGTTTTCTTGCACCGGAAATAAATATATATACATATACTGTACCCATAGGTCGACTTGTGACTGAGAAAGCCAGTACCTGACTGGGGGTGGGACTCAAGTGGTAGAGCACTTGCCTAGCATGCATGAGGTCCAGCTTCTATGCCTAGCACAGCCAAAAATTAAAAAAAAATACAGATCTGGATATGGTGGTACATTCCTTTAGTTCCAGCATTTGAGGCAAAGACAGGTAGATCTCTGTGGGTTCAAGACCAGTCTGGTCTACATAGTGAATTCTAGGACACCCAGGGTTATAGAGAGAGATCCTGTCTCAAAAAAATAAAACTAAGAATATTTTCAAATGCTTATTTATTTATTTATTTTGTATAGGTAGTTTTATCTGCATGTATATCTTTAGCCCCATAAACAGAAGTTAAGAGAAAGTCAGCACCTTGCACATGGATGGAGATGGTGGTGCAGGAGAGTGGCTACAGATAGGAGACGTCACTGGATAGACCCCCAGTTGTAGCCTAGGTCCCTGTATCCTCCCCTGCCCGCCAAGCAATGGCCCTGGTCCTTTCTCATGACCCCTTCAATCTGTACATCTCAGGTATTTCCACACTTGATCACTGCTTATGCTGTGTCTGAAACTCTAAGAGACGGACTCCAAAGTTACCCAGCCCTTAAGTTCTCTTAGAAACTGTTGCAGACTTACAAAATCCACGGCGTTTTTTTCCTCATTTGCAATAACAACGAAAGACTGAAAGAAAGAGGCTACAGGCAGCTGTCATGCAATAACTTTCTGAATCAACTGTATTCTGTCGTCCCTCCCCGTGTGTGTGTGTGTGTGTGTGTGTGTGCGTGCTCTCAGGAGTGGACAGATAGCAGAAGCCAACTTCAGGTGTTTTGCTCAGGGGCCATCTGCCTGTTGCTTAGTGTGTGTGTGTGTGTGAACGTCAAGTGAACGTCAAGTGAACGTCATGCGCTTGTGAGCGGGGCAGATGAGATTGGAAGAGGGCGTTGGACTCCCTGGAACTAGAGTTACAGGCAGTGTGAGTCACCTGATGTGGGTACTGGGAACTGACTCAGGGTCCAGAAGAACATCAAGCACCCTTCAGTGCTGTCCAGCCCTATTGGCCGTGTTTTCTTGTTTGTTTGTTTGTTTGTTTGTTTGTTTGTTTTTGAGATAGGGTCTCTCATGGAGACCTCAGATTGAGAGGTTAGGCTGGCTGCCAAGAGTCGCAAGAACTCTCCTGCTTCTACCTCCCCAGTGCTGGGATTGCAATCATATGCCACAAAGACGGGCTTTTACGTGGGCTCTGGGAGTTGAACTCAGGTCCTCACTCTTATACAGCAAGCACTTCACTGACTACTCCATCCCCCCGGTCCCTCAATCCTACTTTTAAAAAGTCAGCCCCAGGCATCTCCTGATGGATGACACCACTCTATTTTAGGTTAGCAACAGTCAAAAAATGGCTTTGGATTTGTCAAGGTGCTAAAAATAGCCACCCTGTCTGACATCTGTCTGAATTGTCTGTCTCTGAAGCAAAAACGACTTTTCCATTCTTTTCATGTTTCCCAGCATTCACATATTACAGTGGGAAATTATACTTTTTCTTTTTAACTATGTGTGCGTGAGTTCAGGTGCCCTTGGAGGCCGAAGCTGGAGTTGCAGGCGGTTGTGGTCTACCCAGGCTGGGTGCTGGGAATCGAACTCCAGTACTTTGGGAGCACAGCCAGCAGCTCAATTGCTGAGCTGCCTTTCCAGCCTCCTTTATTCCTGTCCCCCGCCCACCCCAGGTTTGAGACGGGGTCTTCTTATGTAGTACAGGCCGGCGCTGACCTCAGACTCAAGTCAAGTCTCCTTTCTCAGCCTCTCAAGCGTTGGCATGAGAGGTGTGTGTCGCTATGCCTGGCTGCCGTTGCTCTTTGATTGTTCCATTTTCCTCCATTTTTGTCTACCTTGATGATGAACATCTGAAGGCAAAGGTGAGGATAGTCCCCGTGCAGCAGGCAGGGCCGGGCCACCCTTACCTGTTCTCTTTCAGCCTTGAGCTCTTGGTCTCTCCTAGAACAGGGACATGCTTTGGCATAACTCCTTACACGCGGCATCTCCAGGCAAAAGTAACTCCGCAACGCTTGCTGGCCCCTAGGCCCACTTCAAGCGTCCATTGCTGCTCTACAATCTGGCCAGTTATATCCTCTTTTGTCCATCATAACCGCACCCCAGACTCCCTTTAACAACTAGCCAAGGACGCTTGAAATCCTAAGGCCTCCAAGAGCTCCACTCTTTCCCATGGAAGGGGGCCAAGGGGAGTGACACTGGCCCCTTGTGGAAAGAGAAGTGAAGAACTTGGAGCCAGGCTGGAGGCAAAGGTTGGGTCGGAGGTCATGAGGAGTGGAGGGCGACCTGGTGGTCTTCAGGGACAAGGCCTGAGCTCCACCCAGAGTCAGGGCCCATCAGGCAAAACACACCTCACAGCCGGCCTTTTGGGGAACCGGGGCTACGTGGGTGCGGCCCCAGCAGGCAGTCAGGTACGCAGAGCGCGTGGCCCTGTGGCGCAGCGTGCCAGGTGGTGCGGGAAGCCCACAGCCGTGCCAGGCTGGGCACAACAAAAGCCGGGGTTCTGGGGAGGGCTGGGCGGCGCGGGAGGAGGGCTGTTGGGAGCGCCCGGCCTGCACTGGCCGCCAGCCACCGAGAGGAGGAGCAGAGGATCCTCGGAGCGCAATAAAACGGCGGCTCGGCCCGAGCCCGCAGCAAACACAGCCATAGAAGGCAGCGGAGGAGCCGAGCCGGGCTGCGCTCGCTCGCCGCCCCCCAGCCTCTTTCTTCTCCGCCGGGTGCACTGCCCCGCGCCCTCCCCTCGCCGCTTTCCCCCTAGACAAAGAGGACAGAAAGTTTGCGCGGGGGAGCGGACCAGGTGAGGAGGGGCGTGCCCGGCCCCCCAGCCCGCGCCACAGCAGCCGGACACAGGCCCCCAAC